CCTCGGCTAAGCACAACAACATTCCTATACCGTGCACATACTCACTTGAAGTCATGCCTCTGCTCAGAACACACAACGGGATGATGTGCACGAGGACGAATGTGGGCAGAGAAGTAGAGAATCATAAAGAAGACTCTGAGGCTCTGAGCTACGATAGTCGGAACCAAACACACTATGTGAATGCGGGCTGCAGACACAACAAGGAACACATGGAAAAACGAACGAGGACAGGATGGAACTCATCAACGAATGCTGTCTATCGAAGTAACCTCTCTCTCTCTCTCTCTCTCTCTCTCTCTCTCTCTCTCTCTCTCTCTCTCTCTCTCTCTCAGTGTGTCACATGCCAGCACCCCGCCTGCCGCGGCATCGCCGCGGCGCGCCTGTTACTTGTATTTTTAAAGGGCGATGGCCTTGAGGTATTATCATCGGACTAACCAGCCCAGGTAAATTACAATATTGTGACTAATGATCCATCGGCCTAGCTCAGTTGGTAAGGCACGCAAGTGGCATTCAGGAGGTCTTGGGTTCAATACCCATTGGCCTCATGCACCTTCCTGGGCAAGCTTAAACAATCCCTCTAGTGCTAGTGATGCTGATATGAGCATGCACCACTAGCACCAGGGAATAGGCTCCATCTATTAGTGGGGAGCAGCACCTGCTGGAAAACGGGTCCAGCATCCCTATGATACTTTGGAATACTTCAGAATCTTTCAGAACAGCCAATATGAGGATCCTGCCAGCATTGATTACCCTGAAACACAGGGGATTGACTGAGCAGGAAAGGAACCATCTCGATTCAGGAAAAAAGCGCTGCCTCTTCACCGTTTTCCTAAGGGCGCCAGATTTATCTATTTTTCCTAGCTGCGCTATTCCAAAAGAACAGGAAGTCTTGCTGAGAAAAAAATAAAATAAAAAAATAAATAAATTATATTCCATACCATGAGATAGGAACAATGGCTGATGCTGAAGGGGGGAAGGGGTCTGGGAATTCTGAGAGAGGGCGCATTGGTACTGCAGCATCAATAGTAGTCCAGTCATAAAATAATAATTTGTAGTCTCTTTGGAACGGTATCTCATCATTACCCTCTGCTCCATTCCAAATGACTTTCCCCAGTCTCCCACCCTGGTTTCCGCCCAGCCAGTTATGACTAAATTTTTGAAAGTGTGACTGTATTTCTGTTTTATTGGATAGAAATTTAACTTTTTCCTTTGTTTGAGACCATCTTGTAAGAATATCTGTTTCAATTTGCTGTTTGATTGTTTCCGTAAAGTCTGGTCCATCCAGTCTAGCCCCCTCCCATTCATAAGTGCATCTTCTCATCCAGATGGCCCACATAACAGCCCTTCTCCCTATACAGAAAAGATTATCTATAAATTCATCCTGATCTTCCACTGATTCTTGGTTGGGGTTCCATGTCTCTAGCAAAATAACTTTCCACCCACAAGGCCATGCAACCTGTGGAACTAATTGTGACCATATGCGATCACACCACCGCCAAAGCCAAATGGACCCAGGACATTGCATAAAGATGTGTTCTATAGTTTCAGGAATTGTTCTACTCGAAAAAGCAGATCTGCAATCCTGGGCAAGCTTGCTGCTGGCCACGTAGAGATCTGCCGTTGGTCCCCCCGAGTGGCATTGAGCAGAGACTGCTGATGTTCATAGGGGGAGGGGACCGGAGGGGAGGCACAGTGACTGGCCAATCGAAGAAGCTCGGTCCTGATGCTACCGGCTGACCCCTGGCCGGTATCGCCCACCTGCTGTAGCAGGTTTCGCACCTGCTGGTGGGTGCAGCTCCCGCATGTTCCCTCGTTGGAGGCTTGAGCACGGATGTGGCTGCTACGGGGTTCCCCATAATACTAGGCCTGAAAGGCCGTCCGGTCCAGATTCGACAGGTATAATTGAATTGGTGGGCAGAATTAGCCTTACAAATATATATATATTGTGTATAATCTGACATCAGGTGGCCTTTCAGCCCAATTTCTCGTTTAGGGTGTCCTTGAAGCTGAAGTATTTTCAAGTGGTGTCCAACGAGGCCCGACACCACTGCCTGTGTACCACTACGTAGGACTTTTTAGTGGA